ATTTTTGTTTCCAATGAATACTAATTTCATAAATTTGAGATACCATGACAAAAAGAAATGCTTATAAAATAAATTCACAATAAAAGTTCATGAATTGATTGTAGTAAAACACCTGCTTATCACTGCTAAATATGGCTGTGATTATCTTCAAAGTATTCATTTTGAGAACTTATGTATCAATATTGACACCTTGTCTATCCTTAACATGTTCAATGCTGATGTATACCACCTAGATCTCGAATTTACATTTATATAAAACGTGTCAAAAATACTTTACTCAGGTACCGGCACATGCACATGAATGTAAGTGCTGTATCAAACTGAATAGTATACGTTTGGCAACGGGTTGTTCCAGGCTCTTTAAAAGGCCTGCGGCGCTCATGCATGATGGCATGGACGCTTATAAGCGTCCAGTGGCATCGAACGTGTTAACTATAATAAAGCAGGTTTTAAGGAATAGTCTTTAGAATTGGTCTCATACTATTACTGAAATATCATTAAAATGCGGTTCTTTTGAAATTACTATCATCAACAAATAAATCTCTAGATGCTAGGTTCAATAGTCCAGGAAGGGTATTTCAATACAGGTGTTTGTTATCTATGTACGTAAAAGCTTCTGCATGCTACTGTGTAAGGTTAATTATTGTACTGCAAAATCATCAGGCGAAAAAAAAGGATCTCTTCCATTTAAGGGGGAATATCTGAGTAGAAAAAAATGTTTTTCCAAATTTTATTTTTTCTTTCATCTTAAAGTTTGTAGTCTTACTTTGGAGTGAAGTTATATCTCCAAGTTATGGATGCATTAGGCATCAAGGTAGGGAAAAAGCCGAGTAGTGTACTGCGAAAATTTTTTTAGATCTTACATTGCGAAGGGTATACATTACATTTCGAGAATCTTTTTGCTTTAGATCAACCGACTGCAAGTAATGATAGATAAGCACTTCAAAAATAATATAGCTACCCAGTCCTGACATGATTAGCAAAAATGCGGTATGAATCACCAAAACCATATACAGGCTATTACAAATTCGTTTCTCACTACAGGGATCTCGGAAACAGTAAGAGGTACGAAGTAGCTTAAATGGGGGCAAAGTTGCGTAATCAGGGGACCAACATTATGCTTCTAAAAAATCAAGGCTAACATGATTAATTTCTGAAATATTTGAAAGAAAACGAAATTTTGGCAATCCGTTTTTGTTTCATTTCAGTCTCGTTTGAAGTGATATTGAAAAAAGAATTTTCTCATGGCAAATTTTTGCCCTCTATCGAATGGCATAATCAATTTTTATATGTAACGTTTTGGCCCTCTAGGACCATCATCAACTTCATATTTTTAAATACGACCTTAGAAATTTTGTTAAATTTTTTGCAAGCCTTCACAACTCCCAATACTGTACTGCCTCAGCCCTCTAAAAATGTTTTATTGTAATGTGTGATGGTAATAGTTTAATAACCTCAAACAAGGCAGAAATGAAACAAAAATGGACTTCCAAAATTTCAGTTTTTTTTTTCAAATATTTCAAAAACATCATATTAGCCTTGATTTTTTAAAGACATAATCTCCTAATTACGCAATTTTGACCCCATTTAAGCTAGTCATATCTCTTACAGTTTCCGAGATCCCTGTAGTGAGAAGGGAATTGGTAACAGCCTGTAAATATATAAAGAAATTTCTCCGCATTCCTCAACATGTATACTTTCGAATAAAACAAACCTGAATAAAGTCGAACAGATAGGTTTTGAGATAATAATTCCTAAAATTCACCTATTTTTTCCAAAGTACTTCCAAATAGTTGTGCTAAAAAAAATGTTTGAAACAGTTCTATGAAAACGACGACTTTTCTATCAACTAATAGTTCTACCATCTCAACAATATAGTTGATTAGGGGATATTGTATATGATGAAAATCCTTTCTAATCGCTAAATTTAACTTCGATAATCTTTTCTTTTTGTTGCCTAAGATGAACAAAATAATGCAAGTATTTTGATAACATAAGACTGCAGTAGACAGTACAGTCTTTAAACGCCATTTCTGAACATCTGCTACTTAATAGGTAGTAGTTTTACCACAATGAGGTCAAAATAATTTTTGATCAAACTGGAATTTGAAGAAACCGACATCATTTCTGCAACAAAATGAATTTTGTTTAAAAATAAATAAGTTTTTAGTCATATCTTTCCCATTAAATGGTCAATTATGTCATACACTGTATTTTGCAGGGCTTTTAATATACCTGATATCCATTTTTCGAGTCCTACTATGGAGATCTCGGTTCTCTTAAGAAATACAGGGTGTCTCATAATTAGCTGCCAACCCTGAACAGGCCGATTCTATGATCAAAACTAAGTAAAAAAGTTCATATGAACATGGGTCCGGAAATGCTTCCTAAGGGCACAGGGACCCATTGAAGAGGGAGGAATGGAAATCATTTTTTTGCAATATCTCTCAATCGCGTTGTGATAAATGAATGAAATTTGGTATACACAGCTAAATTTTGATGAGCAATTTGATGGACTAATCCATTTATTTCCACAAGGTCCATTGGGGTGGGTACGGGGGGGCCCTTGGTACTTTGCGTGTGTAACTTTTTCATCTTTGACTTTTTAACAAATTGGACAGCAAATTCCGTTTTCCCGAACTGTTTTACGTTAAAAAGGTACTCTTGTTTCAAATCGTTATCTTTAACGGTTTCTGAGAAAATCGCTCTTGAATTAATCCCACTTTGGTCAATTTCATAGTAATTTAAACAAAAAAAAATATTTTGTTTCAATTTAATCTAGTTTTAATAAAAAAATAATAATAAAAAATTAAATTAAATAAAAATTAATCCTTTAAATGGAAAAGAGAGGAAAGGAAAATTATTATTATTATTTTTTGTTTAAATTACTATGAAATTGACCAAAGTGGGATTAATTCAAGAGCGATTTTCTCAGAAACCGTTAAAGATAACGATTTGAAACAAGAGTACCTTTTTAACGTAAAACAGTTCGGGAAAACGGAATTTGCTGTCCAATTTGTTAAAAAGTCAAAGATGAAAAAGTTACACACGCAAAGTACCAAGGGCCCCCCCGTACCCACCCCAATGGACCTTGTGGAAATAAATGGATTAGTCCATCAAATTGCTCATCAAAATTTAGCTGTGTATACCAAATTTCATTCATTTATCACAACGCGATTGAGAGATATTGCAAAAAAATGATTTCCATTCCTCCCTCTTCAATGGGTCCCTGTGCCCTTAGGAAGCATTTCCGGACCCATGTTCATATGAACTTTTTTACTTAGTTTTGATCATAGAATCGGTCTGTTCAGGGTTGGCAGCTAATTATGAGACACCCTGTATAGTGGCCAAATTAGAGCAAGGTTGTGGAATTTGATAAAAAATAACTTGAAGAGATATGTGACATATCTTATATTTTGAAATTATTCAGCAAGAAAATAGATTTATTAAATTGAACATGAAAAAGATGAACTCTTAACATTTAACATTAAAATACTTTTTCGTGGTGAATTCAAATAAGGAGTCACATTATTGTATTGGATGTTTTGTTTTCAAAGCACCCTTTCCTGGATAATCTTACAAAAAAATATATATCATACAAGGTGCTTAGAAAAATTAACAGAATTCAAAAATCGCCTATGGCATCTATAAGCTTTTTTCTATTTTCAAATAAAATAAAAATAAAGATTTTCACTTTTTTGGACAATTTCAAAACAAAAGAAGATAGGTCAAATTTCACTTTACTAATTTGACTGATCTTATATTTCTTAGGATAGCCGAGATCTCTGATATAGATTGAAAAATTTCACTTTTTGTGTGTAACAAATATGTCTGAATAATAGTAGGACTTGAATTTCCTTAATAAACGCATACATTAATTTTTAATTGAAGAATTAAAAAAAATATTTTATTTCATTTCAAAAATTAACAGATTTTATAAAAAGAAAACTGTCTTAGAAGAGATTTTTCAAATGAAGTATAATTTGATTCATTTTCTTCACTTTCGTAGATTTTTTTAAAACAGTACAAAATTAGAGTAGAGGGAGGTCAAGTTTTTGTTAGATGCGCCATACAAAATATATTGTTATTCTGAATTTCTAATGAAGCAGATGATAAAATTGGAATAATTTTAATTTTTGGTAAATAAACTATTACTTCAAAAATAACTTTCATATTTTAATTTTTGTTTTTTAATTCATGTAAATTTAAACAATTTATTAATATAGGTAGATTGTTGAATATTGAACTTATACTATATTATTAAAGGTAATTTTGATTCATTATCATCAAACTTTATTATATTTTTAACAATATTTAGATCTTTGGATATAAACATAAAGAAATGTCAGAGGAATTACTCGTTTATAAATACCTACCTTCACGGTACACTAAAATACTGAAACTGAACTGAAGTTTAAACTGGTTCCTAAAATGACCATATATTTGTCAGCCAGCCCGATTTTTATTAAAATTGTATATTGCCATTTTTGAACTATGTTTTAACATGTTTGTTGGATTGGAACTCAGGTGGATTGATCTCCTAATGCGATCAGGTACAAGGGGCCCAATGGGGACTAAGTCCTGTAGCTTTAAAAGTTACCCTCCCCACAATTCCAAATTCCAAACATGTTTGCTGTGATAACTATTTTAAATCTTTTATTCAAAAAGTTAATAGAAGGTTCAATATCCAACTATTATTACTGCAGTTGCCGAAGTAGGGCCGAAATACAAAAATGTTTTTTATAATTAAAAAAATATAATTTATTAACAATAAAAACAATGAAAATTAAATACTCTCCTGTCGAATACTATGAAAAGGATAATATATTTAATTTACTTTCGATATATATATATATATATATATATATAAATT